AGTAGTAAGGCCAGGAGCCCCTAGTAGCGTCCTTGCTCCTAGTAGCGGTGCCTTTGCTACTAGTAGGGTTCTTTTTTCTTAAGTAGGGGTAGGCCGAGTAGAAGTTGCTACGTAGCTAGTAGAAGCTAGGTAGTAGCTTACTTTAGCTACTCGTATGGACGCAGGATAGCTCACGCTTCCTTGAAGAAGCACTTGCACTATTTATTTGGTTCCTAGATTTTAAGGGGAACTTAACAGCCTAGACTGGAGGGTTGGACACTCCCTTCAGACTCTCCACCTGTGCGAGGCTTGTTTTCTGCACAGCCTCTCCGGGTTCAGCTGAGTTGGTTCTATGTTATGACTTGCAAGTAGAGGCATGTTTTTCACACAAAAACCTTCGTGAGCCCTTCCGGGTTATCTACCCACGGTCCAAGGCTATGCTCTTGGTGCATTTTGCTTCGGCAATGCTTCCCTCAGCGGCTGCTTGGTGATGAGACAATGTTCGATGATGTTATTGTATAACACAAGTCATTATGAGGTATACTTACCTGAACTAGCATTTGCTCTATTTGGAGTTACTTGTCCTTGTCATAAATGTGAACTTTTGTGCACTTGAAAAGGACTTTGAAACCAAGAGACCTAAGATGTGATCTCATTCTCCAGGATGCGGATCTACACCTCTCATATCCTCTCATGTATTCTTTTTCCAATCCTCCAATTAAGTTTTCCAAAAACATCAGGAACAAACTCATTAGTGCGTGAGCTATCCTGCGTCCATACTAGTAGCTTAAGTAAGGTACGAGCTACCTCTCCCCCTTAATGAAGTAGGGACGGGGGGCGAGCGGGCTTGAAGAAAACCCGCTAACCACGCCTTAGGTTTGTGCCGAGCCTTGGGCTTAGCTTGTGGTGGCTCCTGGGCCTTGAGTCAGAAGATCTCCGCGGAGCTCCTCACGCAGTTCCTCTTCTACTTGGACATGGTCCTACGAGGCGAAGAAAGGGAGTGAAGGAGGAACAGTCACAGGGTCCCAATCAGGTGACCCTGAGGTGGGTCTTGGGGAATGGTTGCTTGATTGAATTATGTTTGTACATTTTAGAACCCTCATGCGCTTTTATTTCGGAGGACGATGTGTGGAGGGTGGACTCTCAGGACATGCAATTTTGGAAGACGATTTCAAATGATAGTAGCTACTTGCTCCTAGTAGTACGGCCAGGAGCCCCTAGTAGCGTCCTTGCTCCTAGTAGCGATGCCAGGAGCCTCTAGTAGCTTCTTGTCAGAATCTGGTGGTGAACTAGGTTCTTCTGGGCCGCACAAACAAAGACGTTTATGGACATGTAGCTGGAGGTCAACAACTCGGGCGCAACTCTGCCCATGTCATGTTGGGTGCCTTGTTCTCCTGCTTTTCACGGTCAAGACACGACACTTGGGACTTGACTGATCTTGACTGAAGGGAGGCAATACTGGGACTCAAAAACATGATGAAATCAATTGGCCGGGTAGGTTTGGGTTCTGATTTCTACCGAATGCATTGGTACTGAAGAAGTCGACCTACGGGTAGGTTTGATGTGTCGAGCATCCGGGCCACAAGCCAATTCCAAGCCACCAGGTTTCCGTACCAGGTTTCCGTATGAACAGACGCAATAGACGTATTTAAACCTTGGCCTCCATCCTAGAAGCGATGGCCTCCAACCTACTAGAGATGGCCTCCTTGCCCCCTTTAGAGGACCTGAAAGGCGAAGGCAACCGGCAACGGTAGACCAGCTGAACCCACCATTTGTTTCGTGGCGAAGTTCAATCCATTGGCAGGCGCCATGGACCTCGGAGAGGAGAGAGGGAGTTTTACGATGTTTTTACGTGTGATTAAAGTGCCTGGGGCAACTTTCCACCGAGCCATTTTTTTGGCGGAAGCTTCTTTCTTTGATCAAATCCACATGTTCACCACTGTTGACAATTGGGAGGCTTACATATATATATATATATTTATCTATTATGATGGAGGGACCTTCAGGTTTAGAGGTGATTGCCGCCGTGGATGAACAGCTTCGTGCGGGGGTGCGGGGGTTGATTTTACTACGCTGGAAAAGTCCGACGTTCCGTGGCGGATGGACAATCTTGGGAGGCTCATGCAGCAGTGACTTGGGTTTTGAGCCACAGTCTGTTTCTCTTTTTCTTTGCTGGAGAAGACAGAGCCTTTCCAATTGGTTCCCTAACTTCATTTTTGCCTGTGGTTGAACTTGTCAGATGGCTTTGGTTCAAGACTAAGGGTAGCTCCCCAGCTAGCCCAAGCCCCAAGCTCACTTGCACAAATCACCATGACATACAATGACCCAACCCTTATGGCTTTTCTGCAGGTTTCCCTCTTCCTTCAGGCCAGGATGTCGTTCTTGTGTCCTGTGTCGCGTCTGACCAGGACTGGCCGGCGACCATGGAAGCTGTTGGCGCAGGGTCCACTGTTTTGGAGACCTTGGCACATAGCGAAGCGGACGGTGAGTCCGACGTGGAGAAGGGGCGATTCCGTGCCCTTGCGCGGCCCGGCAAAAACCGGAGGGAAAAGTAAACATAGGGAGGTGCGGGTCAAAGTCGAAAGGATTTAAGTTTGTTTCCTGTGTGACTGTCGTCCACTTCCCCAAAACTGCCAGTAGTTACAGTTTTTTGTTTGTATTTTTTGGGACAAGTTGGAGCAGCGGTCCAAAGAGAGAACTTGACCAACCTGAGTGTCTACTCTTGATCAGGATTCATGATGGCATCAAGCCTTTGAGGACATTTACATGTCACACAAGGCATAAGAAAGTTTCAGAGAGCTGAATTGAAGAGGCTAGTGGCCCTCCTCAACGCGGCCTGGGGCAGTAGTTTCACTTGCAGAGACCTCTCTTGGAGATTTACATTCTTGATCTGCCGGAGAAGTGGGCGAGTGGGTGGTTGGGTGCACATGGCCTGGGCTGAAGGCACATTGCGTTGGGCCAGTTTGAGTAGGAACGCGGTTGCCACCATCGCTTCAAGATGATTCCTAAAGCGGAAACCGACTCAGCAGGAACAGATGTACTGGTAGGCGTTGCCTGCACGATCACTGTGCCAAATTGCAATCTGAACTGCTTGGAAAAAGCAATACTTAGGTGCACCGAGCAGTGCATTTGTTTTTTGCAGTTCTGCAAACACAGTGGATGTATCATACATTTGTGTAAGGGCTGGGGACTTAGTGCAGCTGACATGGCTTGTTGTGAAGGGATGGTTATCGGGGGAGGTCACGCGGCATGTCTTTGCGGTTTAGATGGTTTGCAGGTTCTTCAACTCTGACAACCGAACCTGGCTGGCATGGATTCAAAGCCAAGAAACAAGATAGCGCAAGTTGTTAGACTCAGGCGAATCCAGGGCTTTGGGATAAGAAATTGACAGGAAGACCTTGAACTTGGAACTTCGCCACACGTCACTCACACAGTCTACCTTCCTTGCATCATCGCACCTGAGGCACTTCACGGGAGATCTTTGGCAGCAGGAGAGTTGGCAATGTTTGCAGCATCGCCAAAAGAATCTTCTTCCCATCTCCAGTAGGTATATAGGTCTTTCAAATTTGGAGCAGACATCACAAACCCGTTCCGTCACCAATGGCACTTAGTGAGCATTTAAAGTGACTCGATACCAACGTAACTTAAATGTCATGTTGCTGGGACAAGGTGTCTCTGTTGTACACACATGTGTAGGCCACCCTTTGATAAAGGTATGAAGTGGCTTCAAGATTTGTGATCATTACAGTTGCATAAGGGGGTTTCATTTATAATGTTCCCAGCCATGGCAAACGATAGGGATCTCACAAAAAGAGCACCTGTAACAAGGTTCCAAAACTTCAAGAAATGATTGGGCCGCACATATTAAATCTTTGATTGTATTTCATCATGTGAAAGTCTCTTATTGGACTTGCCAGGGGAGAACACGAAACCAGCCACCCATTCCGTGCACACACTCTTCAAGACTGGGAATGCAGGCGCCAAGTTTGAGGAGTTCTGAGGTTCCGTTTCGCAGGACTTGAAGATTTCTCTATGACCCCATTATGCTACAAGTCCTTTCTTTGCTATTCGGTTGGAGGCCATCGCTACTAGGTTGGAGACGTCGTTTGTGCAGACCTTTCAAGGTACTGGCATGCGCTGGGGGGGGTATGTCTCCATGTGTCTGTCTCCATTCATTGACCGCCATGGAGAGATGCGCACCCCCCAACACCAAGAATCCCTGGTGGTTTGGTGCCGAGGAGGTGACCTTTGACCGGGTGACCTTTGCGTATCCCATGCGACCATCCAGGCAGGTCCTTCAGGACCGGCCTGGGCCGGGTGCGGAACATCGGTTGAACGGACCGCCCGCTTCGGGGGCCATGCATTTCGCTCGGTCGATCGGATTCGGATTTGGGAATACAGCACTGAATGCCGTACTTGTTGTTTTTGGATTTAAGAATGGTTTGTCGTGGTGAAGTTGCCCGACATTTTCGAACCAGTTGGCGAATCTGGTTGCCAAACTGCGTTCAACAGAAGAGAGTATAGAGATGTGAGGTGGTGTGTTTCAGCACAGTGGAACCCTGGTCCCATTAAAGAACCAGCACTGCACATGCACTTTTGCGTGCCTGCCAATGCCTGCATCCGCCATTGTCGTCAGGATGTCACCATCCACTGCCGGTCAGGCCCGAGCGCTCAGGGGACAGCACTGGGGGCAACACAGCAATGTATTTCAGAATATTTCAGGCACTGGCGATGGTTTCGGTCTGTGTGAGAGCTGCATCTGGATCTGAAGGTTTCTTCCAAGAAGTTCAGATGCCCTTTGGTTGGCCAAGAACACTTCAGTCAAATGAGTTTTGCATAATATGATTATGGAATCCCAACACTTGGGTCAAATGGCACATATTGACATGGTAAATGGTGCAATTGGATGGACATGGGGTGGCGCCCCACCCTTTTGCACAAGGGGTGGCCCCCTGCCGGCAGAACACCAATCCTTTGTGGCAGCATATCTCCTTCGATTCCTGGGCTTTCCATGTGAGACGAATCTCGAGAGTCTCGGCCAGGTGAGATGACCGCCTTGGTGGGGACCAGTGGCTCGGGCAAGTGACTCGGCCCAGAGTCGTCGTGACTCGACCGGATCGATCCCGACGACCCCGACGAACGAACCCCGACGAAGAACGCTCCTCGCGCTTGGTGTTTTTTCTCGCTCTTCGAGGTTTCTGGGTTTCGCACCAAAAGGCCTGGTACCCGCTGAGTCGCCTCGCCGCTGGTACCGTCAGCCTTCTCGGTCTGTGGCGCGCCCAAAGAGATGCGCTTCCAGAGTTCAGAACGCTTGAACATCCTTCTGGAGTTCATTGCTTTCCATCCACGGATTTTTGGTCAAAGGGTATAGGCTGAACTGGCACGACTTGTAGAAGACCCGTGCGAAGGCACCGTTTGGCTGGCCCAAATCCAGGCCTCTCTAAATCCAGGTGGACGCAGGGGACATTTATATATTTATAGAAGGAAACACTTGGAAGGAACAAAGAACCGGGTGGAGACGTGTGAAAACTGGGTGCCATCTACTCAGGAGTTCGCTGATCAACTTGATTCAGGGCTTCTACAGCGTGCAGAAGGGCGAGGCATGGACAATCTGAAATGTGGCATTCTGCTGGGGCTTAAGACAACTGGATTATATCTCTGTATACTATGTAAGATTTATATACTACTGACTAGTAACTTAGGACTTGTCGGACATACACGCCAATTCCAAAAGCCTATGTCATCAGGATTGATCCAACATTGGCATTTCCTCTTAAGGCCTATGTCATCAGGCCACAACCATGATATTCATAGAAATATGTATGAGGTATTCAAGGAAGCAGCGCCCGCAAAAACACATAGTCGCACCCTATGTCACCACTGTGTCACCAGGGTGCCAGGCAGTGGTATCTAGCATTATTTAGCTGTTTTTTTGCTTTTTTTGTCGAGGAGGTGTCCACAGGTCCTATGACACCAGGTTTCCCAACCCAGACATTTTTTTTGCTCGATATGTCAGGGCACATGACTTAGCCTGGGGGTAGCCAGATTGGTATGTCACTTGCATCACGTTGGCCTAAGTCATTAGACAGTAGTATAAGACAAATTCTTTGACAAGTCAACGGCCCTTCAAGTTTTGAGGTGCATTTGAGTTAAAAGAGATGTGTGTGTGTGTGCGTGTGTTCCAGCCTCGACCCGTTGCCAGCTCGGGCCGAACCTCTTCCAGCATTGATTGTAAGACACGACTTTTACCAGTTCCTCTCACGTTCATTTGCTCTAAAAAGCAGCGATTTTTCCGCCTGTTTGGCGGAGTCGCTTCCTGGGCTTCCCAGGTTCTGGTGGATGGAGTCCCCTTGGAAGACTTGGATCCTGCTTGGTTCAGGGACCAGCTGGGCATCGTTGGCCAGGACAGTCTCTTCACTGGCCTATTCGAATCTGGCTGTGTAGGGCTGTTTGTCGGTCTACGGTCTATGAGTCTATGAGTCTATGAGAAGCTGTTTGGTTCAGCAGATTTTCGGGTGCCCTGCGGGTTAAGTCCGCAACTCCAAAGTTTCAGTTTCAGGGGTTGTTGGCTCAAGCAAACAACATACTGTACGTATAATTCGCAACAAGCGCAGCACTATGACCATTGCAGGTGGGACTAAACGGGTGAGGTTGGGGCAAACGCCATGATTTCCCTCTACTTTAAGCAACCCCGCACCCCCCACAATAGCCATTGGCCAGGAACCCCACTTCTTCCGTGGCACTGTGGGGCAGAACATCGCCTGGGGCACCGAGGCCACCAAGGAGGAGGTCATTGAGGCACGTTTTTTTCTCGTTAGCGACCAAGGAGGTGCTCAATGACAGAAGGACGGTTCACGAAGGGAAACAAAACACCCGAAGGCTTTTGATGGGGTTTTGCCTGATGAGATGTCACAACCTGTTGTGTGGGCTTTTGAGAAGACAGGAGGTGCCAAGACCGACCCTTCGAGAGTTGTGACAATTCCACCGGCACAACACCTCCACCACTTGGCAGGCAACTTGCAACCCAAACTCAATGGACATGGGCATACCGGTGAGTGTTTTTTTTGAGCAATTCTGACATGACACTAGCAAAATATGGGAAAGAGCAATCGCGCAAACATATGCAAAAGCATACCATATCCTGCACTGATCCCCTTGGACCCTTGGACCAGACGATCCCTTAGATTATATTTGAATTCACATCCTGGACTTGATTCCCTTAAGAAACCGAAATAGCGAAGGGACACGAGGTTTCGGTCTTTCAGTTTGCATCGCTTGGACTTAGAATGACTTGGATGACTTCCAGGCAGCGAAGATCTCCCAAGCGCACGACTTCATCCAGCGGCTGCCTGGGGGCTATGAGAATCTTGGACTTGGTGGAATGCGCTGCTACTTTGATAATTCTTGCTAGATCCAGATCATTGAATTTATGTAAATGGTTTAATTGTAAGGTTTCTGCAAGTTTATGTACAGTAGGTTTCAAGGCTTTACAGTCCCACTTTTATTCTTTTGTATATTCTTTTGTTTATTCTTCTTCTTCATGACATGTCTGTCTTCGATGCATCAGACATCCGCAATCCGAAATCCCAGGACCCAGATTGGTGATGGGAAGCTACTGAGTGGAGGAGACCGCAACTAAAATATGGGGTGGTGCTGATGGTAGGGGCATAGTCGTGAACCGGGCAGATGCTGAAATGGATCCCTTTTCTAAGGGTGCGGGTGCATGTTCCAGGACAACGTCAGCGCTTGGCGATTGCCCGGGCCATTTTGCGCGACCCACCGATTTTGGTCCTCGATGAGCACCTTGGTTGACGGACGGAACGTGGGAGGTGTTCACCAGGAGCGGGTCAAAGCAGACGGAACGGTTCACCGTGTGGTTTGATTGGGTTTCTGCAAAACGTGGCAACCCTGGAATGCACCAAACCCCTATTCAGCGAGCAGCCAGCCAAGGGCAACCAAAGAAAACTCAAGGGAGCACCAAGAATCACAAAAGCATGCGCCCCATTTGAGCAGCCCTCAAACCGAGTCGAGCAGAGTGACCGTACCCGCCTCGGTCTTCTGAACTTTACAGGAAAGACACTGGCAGATGGCCTTGCACAATGGTCCATCCACAGATGACTGCTTGGGTTGACATGGTACTGTACGGCCCAAACATACATCAGCCATCCTCATAGGATCTTCCCCTGCACACTTCGTATCGAACGCCATCCATGGAGTCATGTCTTGAAGTTCACTACCCATTTGCAACTCATTGTTTTAAGAAGCTACTAGGGGCTCCTGGCATCGCTACTAGGAGCAAGGACGCTACTAGGGGCTCCTGACCGTACTACTAGGAGCATGGACGCTACTAGGAGCTTTTTTACCGTGAGACGAGTCGTTCCAAGGCCCACTAGCGCTTTGGATCCATCCACCAGCAGGCACGCCATCGCGAACCCCGCTGCGCATCCAAGATCCGTTTCTTCTGCTTTGGGATACCAGTGTTGCTCTTGCCAGATCTCAGAAGTCTCGATGTTTTTTCTCCTTTGTGACCCTGACGGTCTGCATGGTTCCCATTGGTTGCTGTTTGAATCACAACAGTTGGGATTCAACATTCACTCTATCTATCCAGTCAATCCACCCAAATGAACTGTTCTTTGCTCAAGGTTGGTCTCCCTGGCCCTGAGGGAGGCTCAGTGGTCCCGAAAACGCCGCCAGCGCCGCACTTTACTGGTGCCTTGGATGTGAATGAGGGGAGTGACCACTAGTGACCGCGAGTGACAGTAGCTTTCCATTGGTCAAGCTGAACCGAAAGAGCAGGAAAGCGCCTGGGTGTTTGAAAGGAAACATTATGTTTTGACCAAATTGAAACAGATAGAATTTGCTGTTGGAACAGGTACCATTCAAACATTTTTGGACCAGAAGGGGCAGAAGGGGTTTATTGATAGAGAACTACCACAGTGTTCAAGATTGCCCATGTTTTTCATTTACAGTAGACATCAGGACATGTGAATCCTTTTCTGGAAGATGCCACAAAATCGGGAAACAAACTGGGACTCTTGGGCAAGCTGACGGGACTTCCTTGAACCTCTTGTTGTTTTGGATAATATCATTGGAATGAGTTGATAGAAGGGCTCGCAAGTTTGATGGAATTCTGTTCAGTGGAACGCCTTCTCAATTCCAGAACCTGAGGTTTTGTTTGGTAGAAAGGACATGCAGGTCAGCTGACCAGAGCATTTTAGTAACTTACAGTAGTATATATATATATATAGTAACAGTAGATTATATATATAGACGGCGCAGCCTCCAAGACATGAACTTTATCACCTGTGCCATCTTGTGGCTCTAGAGTCCACGTTGTTTGTTGAGTCCACTTAGAGTCCATCAAAGGCGACGTATGAGAACTTGGCATTTGGGAACCCCGTTCTCGTGCCGAACAGGAACCAGTTGACATGGTTCCAACGGTTCATTTACTGGGTTGAAGAGGTCCAAGCTTGGCCGAGCTGGTTCAACGATCCCAAACGGCATGGCGTGGCCGAGGTCATTGCGCATCGGTTGTCGACCGTGAAGGTCAGGAGGGTGAAGATGATCCGGTCAGTGAGGTCAATTGTAGCAGGCTGAAACCATGGTCCAATATGGTCCAATCAAGGTACACATTTGTCAGCAGGCTAGGCAGAATGTGCTTTCGTGCTTTCGTTTTTTTTTCTGCTTGCAGGCTCCGGTTTCCAAGCACCTGCCTGTGGTGTTCAACTCCTTTATGAGACCACAAAACCCCCTCCACGGAGGTGCCATGTTGAACTTCCGATGTAGTTTCCCATTGGTTTACAGATGCTTACAGGTTTGCGTGCCACTTTGATTTGCATTTGGTCTCCCAAGTGGGTGGTTTTTGGTGTGGTATTTGGAAACCAGACGATCGAACAATGGGATGGCCGCCGCGATCCAGGATGCTGAACAGATTGTGGTCCTGGATAAGGGCCGTGTGGTTGAACGAGGCACCCATGAGGAGATCTCCACGTTTGCGGCACGGCGAAGCGGCCACGGTTGCGGGTAGACTCGGTTGACTTCCAAAGCCATGAAGACTGCTTGGGCTTGAATAAGCACCCGGCAGGATGCTTCATGGTGCTTTTGGCAGTTCGTTGGCATCAGTCTTGGGATTCGGCTGAAAGTTCATCGGTTGAAGCGCGCCAGTCTGTGGCTACAAGGAGCTGATGGCACGCGAGGGACCCTTTTGGCGCATGGCCGGGAAACCCACGACAGGACAGCACGGGGAAGGTTGACTAGAAGGTTTGGACTTCTTGAAGACCCCTCTCATGGCCTCTCATGCTCCTTGCACGCTCCTACTAACATGTACTGTACAAACTCTCTCTATCATATCATATCATATCATATCATTATTTACATACAGGTGTAGTTATCCATCATCCATTGTACACAGAGATTCTTTTTAGACAAAGAACATGATTTCGACCAACTTCCACCCTGGGCCCCCGCTGCGCCCAGGTCACGGAGCTCTCTTGATGCGGAGAGGGGATCAACTTCCGGCCAAAGATGCCGAGAGTGCGCTATCGAAGAAGCTGCTCTGAAGAAAAGGTCCACGGTTTATGGGGCAGTAGCCTCCGAACCTCGTTCTCTTTTCAAGAAGATATCCCTCAAAAGGTTTTCTCGGAAGTGGCCTGGAGCACCAGAAACACATCCATCTATGGAAAGACATGTCCTCCCAGTTCAGACATTCCTCAGTTTCTTTGCTTTGCAATCTACGCTTCATCCACGAAACTCGCTTTTGTGCCTGAAGGAGTCCTCATCACCGGCGGGTTGTGGAGCAGCGGGAGAAGGGGGTTCAGGCTGGAACTGAGGAGGTTGAAGAGTGTCTTGTACTAGAATCAATGATTGAAACTGTATAAACCGATTGCTATACAAATACTGTACTAATATTGTTGTTATTGTTAGTGATCTTCTCCGGACCAGGAACGAAGCGAAAAAGCTCGAACCCTTCCTCACAAAGCACCTCCGCTAAGCGTCACTGATGGCGCGCCGCACCCCCTACCCTTTTCCTGAGGGCGCTCGTGCCGGTAAAAGGGCAGCTGGCATTCGACCAACTGGCATGTGAACCTTCATGGAAGTGCATGTCACAACACTCCCCCTTCGTACAGCCGCTTGGCTGTTGCGATCTTCAAAATCGCGAGCTTCTGCGAGCTCGCTTCCAGCTCAACCTGCCCTTTGACTTTCCAGGGTGGCACACTGCGAGCATGGAGTGTACCGCAAGACTTCACCTCGGTCCAGCTTGGAGCATGCCCTGTTGATGTGGGCATAGCCACCCCAGTAGTTCGTCCAGAGGTTCCAATCTCTGGAGATCACCATGTTCTTCTTGCACTCCGGACACCATCTGGAGCGACGGACTTCTCCTGTCCGTGGTGCCCGGATGTACCCACATTCCATTGACCCATGGTGGGCCCTTCCGAACCTCGTCGTGAGGACGACAGGATCTTCTTCATCTCCTGCCGAAGGTGTTGGTCCGGCTGGACTTCTCTTTGGAGCCGCTTGGCCCCTTCCCCCTCCTTGTGCTCTAGCTGGTGTTGTGGCTGCGGATGCCGGATCGGATGATGATGCGGCACCTCTTGACCTTTCTTTTTCTTCCTCCTCCCTTCTCTTTTTCTCTTCTTCTTTCTCCTTCTTTCGCTCCACCTCTTGGCCCCTTGAGCTCACCTGGCCTCGAGGCTGTGGCGATGGAGACGGTCTTCCCCAGATCGTGATCTGAGTCACTGGAGACTGGGTTGAGTGTGTGGAAAGGTGAGCTTGGCCTGGAGACTGAGTTGGAGTGTGAAGCCATTCGGATGCCGACTGTCGTGGCGTCCTTGGAGCAAGAGGCACTGGAGACTGAGTTGGCGAAGGAAGGTGAGCCGGCCTTTTCATTTCTTCTTCTTCATCTTCACTTTCTTCCTTTCTTCTCATCGTTCTTAGCTTCACGGTGCTCCCCTGTGGTGGTCTGGGAAGACTTCGCACTGTCTGCTCGTCATCACTTCGTGATCGGCTTGACTGTGGTACTCCTTCCTTCAGACATAACCACAGGGCGCCCAGGATGGCCACAATGAAGAACATCAATGCCATCCATTCCCACCAAGTGAGATCTTCATCTTCTTCATCTTCTTGGCCCTTCGCTTTTGTGAGCATAGCGGCCATCGTGATGAGCCTCAAAATCGTGGCGGCCTTTTGACTTCCTTTCTTTCCTTCTCCACCTCCGGCTTGAGTCTCCGGATCCTCCTCTTCTTGTGCTTCCTCCTTCAGCTCCTTTAGCTCCTGACCTTTTTTATCTTTTCTCTTCAGATCTTCTTCTTCTTCCTCTGCAGCCACCCTCAGGAGTGTGCCCATGTTCATCTTCTTCTTGAGCTGCTCCAGTCGCGGTGCTGACAGTGGTTTCGTTCCAGCATCTGCAATCATCTCTTCTCCTGGGATGTGGTTCAGACTCCACCATCCATCCAAGATCACCTGTCTGGCGTATGCCGACTTCATCCTCAGGTGTCTGGTTCTCCAGTTCCCACCCTCTGTGGTGAGGATGATGAGTCCGGACTTGCTGTCAGTCCAGGCCATGCGAGTGGTTGGCCCGAAGATTTCATCGATGATCACACCAATGGACTCACCGGCTGTCATGCCTTCAACAACTTCATTCAACTCTGCTTCTGCTGTGCTGAGGGTGATGGAGCTTTGGCGGCCAGACCTCCAAAGGATTGGAGTGTTTCCGAGCAAGACCATGCTGCATCCATGTGACTCTTCTGAAGTCGGGGCATAGCTGGCGTCCGTGTAGACGTGGATGATGGCCTGTTCATCGGCCTTTTCCTCAAAAACGAGGCCTTCTTCTTTGGTCCTCCACAGGTACCCTTTGACCTGTTGAGCTGCTTCTTGAATGGCCCTTGTGGCCTTGAGGACATTTGATCCCATTCGTGACACGGTGTACATGAGATCTGGTCTTGTCCGTGTCACCGTCCACAACAACTCTCCCACCACCTTTTGTGCTCCTTTGACTTCAGCAGCTGTGGGTGGTGGATCATCTTCTTCCATGACCGACTGGTCCTTCGTGATCGGGATCTTTCTCGGCTTCGGCGCCTCAGACTCCTGCTCCAAGAGATCGGTGATGAAAGACTGTTGAGTCACCAGCCAGCGATCCCTTTGGGTCTCTTGATTGACCTGCTTCATGATCTCAATGCCCAGGAATTTCGTCGGCTTCTCACTGATCCTCTCTGGAGTCGAGGTCGTCCACGTTGACCTAATCTTTTCTTCCACTGCCTGGAGAATTCGGCTTGGTGCAGTGATGAAGATGTCATCCACATAGGTCATCAGGAGTCCTTGGAGTTGGCTCCCTTCTTCATCATCATCATCCTTCTGCACTATTCGCCACAGATTCGGCTCGGACTCCATAGCAGTCAGCTGCACTTGACTGATCCTTCCAGCTTCATTGGGGATGTCAATCTCGAGCGATTGCAGCGTCTTGTCCCTGTGCTCTCCCCACAACCGAGGTGAGCGTCTAAAGCCATAAACAGCTTTCTTTGGGAGGTAGTAGGTGTCCTTGTCAAGGAAGCCTCTGTCCACAAAGAAGGATGGTGGACACACCAAAAGCAACTGTTGATCTTCTTTTTGTTCCATCTCGGCATTCAAGAAGGCTGTCTTGACATCCAGGACACTTCCTTCCCATTGATGGACTGAAGCAACCCAAATCATGATGCGAAGGGCAGCAGAGTCAGCCCCACCTGAGAAGTTGTCTTCATTGGGATCTTTGCTTTCGAAGTTGCCGCAGACTACCCAGCGGACCTTCTTCTTTCCTCCCCTCTTCCCAGGTTTTCTCGTGAACACGAGTTTGGATGGGATCAACTCTATTCGAATCCCCCTCTTTTCAGCATCTTCGATGAGCTCCTTCATTTCTTTCTTGGGAATCGGCTGCAAGGCCAGCTTTTCTTCGACGAGTGAGATGACTTCTTCACCTGCTGCTGGCTTCCATGCTTCCCAGTTCTGAGCCACCTCCTTGGCTGACACGATCCTTGTTTGTAGCACCTCTTCTTCTTCCACCTCTGCAGCCACCATAGATCTCCTGAGGCAAGCAATCAACTGAGCATTGATGACCGCCAGTTGAGGTGAATCCTCCATTGACAAGAGGGCTTCTTCTTCTAGGACCTTTCGCATCCTTCTCTTCGCTTCTTCTTCCTTCTCCTCAACCTCCCCCTGTTCCTTCTGGATCTTTTTGACTGCGGTCTTCCCTCGGATCCTCCTCCTGAGAGATAGCCCATCCAAAAGTTCCTTTTCCAGGGCGATCCAATGTCCCTCTGTTGGTGGATCTTCCAACCTCCTCATATAGCATCTTGTGAGCCTTGGTCTTTCATCGTCCCTCACAATCCAGTGTCCGTGGTTCTCAGGGGACGGACAGAGGTACCTCGCCCGTTCACTTGTTGGGCCCAGGTCATCACGCTTCCATCTCCTTCTCCTTACCATAACCTCCGTCAGGAAGGGCGGGAAGTTGGGTACTTGGTAGAGCCTTTTCGCTCTGAGAACCTCGTTGCAGTGCCTTAGAGCCCATGGCCACCACTTCGAAGTTTCTTTGGCCTGGTGTAAGGCCTTCCGCACCATCGACTTCAGTGCTTTTACTGCTGCCTCTGCACGTCCGTTGGACTGGGGTTCGTCCCCTGCAGTTTTGGTTAGGATGATTCCCCGCCGCCTTGTCCAGCCATGGAAATGGCCTGCGTATTCATGGCCTTGATCAGTGTGTATCTGAGCGACGGAGTATCCGTCCATCCTCAATCTCAGCAGCATGTCCATTGTCGTCCTTGTGACTTCTTTGGCCTTCTTTGAATGCATAGGCAATGCTAACCTGAAGGTCTCGATCTTGAAGTCCTTTGGTGGCTTTTCTTCTGCCTTTCCAAGTTCATCATCTCTTTCTTCTTCATCTCGATGAATCTGTTCCAACAGATCTTCACCTGCTTCTTCTTCAGCGTCGGTGAGGCCATGTAGGACTTCATCTCCTTCCTCCACCCCAGCCTTATCTTCTCCTTCTTCATCGTCCTTTGAATCTTCTTCAATTGGCGGCCATTCTTCTTGACCTTCTTCAGACAGCTGTTCCTCCCCCCTGTCCCTTGACATCCACCGTACATGGAACCGCCCAAGTGAGTGTCCCTGCTAGGAAGTATCTTGACTGGAATCCTCCTAGATCATAGGCGGGCTTCAACGGGCCAGCCGTGTCGAGGGAGAGAACTCCAGCAAGCTTGTGTTGAACTTGGCGATGGGGTGAACACTGTTGTCTCGCTTCTTGGCAGATTCTGCAGTCTCTCCTGCTTGGTGTATGGCCCAGGGCAATGTGTTCAGACCACGAAAGAACACATGCTTTGGCCTTTTTCTTCATCGCTTGGGTCATCACTGCTTCTGCCAACATAGTCATCATCCCCGGAGGCCACCGTGCCAGTTCCCAGGATCCTCGAACCAGAGCATGGCTGACAGTCTTGGTGGAAAATTCCTCAGGGATCAGCTCAAGGGTTCCAGCGACTGTTGTTGGCTTCTTTGCAGCACCACCGAGCGGCTTCTGGAAGAACGTGACCTCCTTCCACCCAAATTCCTTTTGAAGATCTTTCCATTCAGCAGTGTCCCAGAACGACACCACTTCAGGGTTGTAGTCCTTCGGGCTAGCTGGCTGCTCAATGCC